CCCCAAAACCCCAAAACCCCTCTTGACTGAATATTCATCACAAATTTCTGCATAAAATAATCATTAAATTCTTGTTATATTTATTACCAGTAGTTTGCCAATATTTGGCTAACAGAATATATTTTAATTAATTATAATACATTCTAAGATCATCACATATTCTCTATTACGTCATGAATTTTAACAACACTTTTATGGACTTTTTCTTTCTTAAACTTGCTTTTGAGATCCTCTACGACCATTAATTTAATTTTCAATTATTCTCCAAACAATTCTTTTGTGTCCTTATCTCTCAGATTTAGTTTAAATCTATACCTCATGTTAGACTTTGCCCTCTTATTTACTTAAATTTAAATTTCTAATTGCATAACTCCTTAAGGTTCAAGTTTTCTACTTATTTGAAGGGGCTTAATTAAGTCCACTTTTTTACTTCCTGATTTCTCAAGCAAAACATTTTCTGGCCATTCCAATTTTTTAGTATCGTTCCTTAGAAGGATTTAAATTTCTACTTTTTCTTCAACATGAACAATTAACTCAGAGTGTGATTAATAAGCAATGGAGGCTAATTTCCTTATCTAATCAGAATAATCCTTCTAATCAAAAGAATCTAAGATATCTCTTTTGAAGAGACCAAGCATAATATCATTCTTTTATTTTTTATCTCTGATAAATGAGCAAAATGGTTAAAAGACCATATTCACAGGATTGGATATATAGGTTTATTCTCCCATAAACTACCCAATTTCTTTTAAATTTTCAACTATTCCTCCCAAACTTGATCAATCCTATTATATTATGCCAATTTCCTTTTGCTATTATTACTCGACGAATTTTATGAACTCTTCAGTATTACTCTCATCATAAATGGCTTATTCAAAATCTTTATCTTAACTTTCTTAAAAATCTAAAGGCTTTTTAAAGTTTTAAATGGATTTCTTCGGAGGATTATAAGATTGAAAGACTTTCTCTTCTTCCTAATTCATCAATTATTTAATTTTGTTTAATTTTGCTTTCTCAGCAAAGTCATCCGACTTCTATTATTTCATTTAATGATGACGGAAATTAGTGGCATCCTTGCTACTTTAATCTAAAGCATTTAGTATATATTCTCTTTGGTGATTTAATATTTTATCGATGATGCCTTCAATTTCATTTAGAAACATATGTCTAACCATTTATCTTATTCTTTATTCTGTAAGTCCAAATATTAATTATTCTTTTTATTCTGGTTTTTCAAAATTGATGAGATCAGAATTTTTATCCTGAGGCATTAAATTTAAAGCATTGTTAAGACTATTGAGATCTTCAGGTGACATCAAGAGATCGTTTTTATGTCTATTTTAGTCAAGCTATACTGATTTGTACATATTTGAATTTCTTCTACTGTTGGAACCTCATTACACTTTTTCAACCATTCTTTCAACCAGATCATCTTCAAACTATTGTGACATTTCGTTCATGAAAATTTACCCGAGATGTTTTTAATTGTAGACTTCCTCAGATTAATCATATGACTTCCTCTTATTATTAGCTTCAAATTTTCCTGTTTCATCACTTCTATTTTTAACAGTGATTGTCAATGAATTTTATTTTTCTGCACAAAAATCTTTAAGAGCTATTTAAAAATCAATGTCATCCTTCAAAGTAATTTCCTCGTCGAATTTATTTTAGTAAGTTAACAAATACTAACTGTTTATTTTACCTCTATAAAATGGATACTCGTCCAAGATGAACTTAATTATGTTATGCAATTAGGCTGTTAATCCTGTTACTATTCAATCATGAAACTATCCTTTATCAAATATCCTTATTCTAACTTGCATAGTCTTTTATTTTAATGCTGCGTTTGTACCCATATAACTATTCATATTTTTTACTCTAATTTACAATTAAACTTAATTAATAATTATTAATAAATTATAATTAAGCTATAAAATGTAGTTATCTAAGTGGACTTAAGAATTGATTTTATCTTTGAAGCAATAAAAACCTCAAAAGGTTCTAGAGTTACTTTAGCCCTATATAGATATTAAGGGCAAAGACTAGTTTTCTGGTGACAAGATACCAGATGATATGTACTATCATTTTAGGTCAAACTTCTAAGAGGAAGCAGACTAGTAAGCTATAACTAAATTTGTTACCGGATTCCTTACGCATTCAAAGCTGATTGATTTGAATAAAGCTGGAAAGATAGTTGGCAAATAAGCAGTAACGATAAAGAATGAAATTTTTGGGAGTATGATCCTGGCATTTAGCGGATTTGAGACTTTATGCGACTAGCCATATATGGATGGCAGATGGATAGGCTCTTTGATTGATCACTTATGCAAACTCTTAAGTCAATACAGCATAGAGGCCGACAAAGAGTTAAATGAATCAGCAGAAGCAAGGGATTCAGTAAAATCAGAGCACAATTTGAAGTCTGCACATGCCTAATAAAATAAAGCGCTCTCTGTTATGGAAAGTCTTTTCAGAAGAATATTACCATGCAATAACCAGCCTCCAGATAACAGAAGGTTTGGAGATTTCTACATTGCGCTTAGAATGATTAAACTGCAGTTCAAGCAGAATAGCTATAAGATATCACAAACCTATTTTAAATGGATTGACACCTAGGTAAATTAAAATGTTGGCTACTCCCTAGAGCAGCTCACAGATAAGTACAGAGTTACTCTAGCATTTTACCAAGGGAGATTTTAGTTATATAAGAATGAGTTATAATTAGCCAGATAGGAATTGCGATTTGCCTTCTAAAACTGTCCTAATGATTATTTAAAGAGCAAAAAGAAGATACTTAGGTTCCTCGTTCCAGTAGAGATGAACCTTAATAAATTTCCAACCAAGACTCTTCTTACAAAATATTAGTTAAACGAGTACATTCCTTTAAGTGAGGCGTGCATTGATGGAGACCTTAAGAAATTTGATGATACGTTAGAGCAGTATATGGATTAATATGTAATGAGTGGAGTTTACTTGGCTGTTGAAAAATTGAGGCATTTGACTATCAGGAATTTGATTAAAAAATATTCGCTTGTAATAAAAAGTGATCCTTCTCTGTAACCAGGCTTTGAAAGTTAGTCTCATGTTATTAAGTTAGAGAATATCTTTAGTATAATGAGTCAATGGGATTAAGAGCTTGATCTTGACGAGCTTGAATGTATAATTGCTAATCAGATATATCTGGGATTTATTAAGGGATACATTATGCATGATAGGAGACTTCTCGTACTCGCCAGGAATATTGATCCATTCACCTTAAAGTACGAATGATTGCAAATGCGTGATTTAATTAATTTCTTCATTATTTATGAAATTGAAATTTATTAATGTGCTTGGGGTTTTGGGGTTTTGGGGTTTTGGGG